TTTTTCTCCGCCTCCTTTAATTTTTTTACAGAGAGCATTCACATTTGTACATAGGTTGACTGAGTCATGCACTTCATTTGGTGCATCCAAAAAGTCACAGATGTCAGAGTTAAATGCAGAATCCTCTGTAAATGGTTGTCCGCCTCCTCTTATGCTTGCAGCCAATGACCTTGCATCTGATAATTCATCGAGAGAACCATCCAAAACGGGGCTAAATAAATCATCGAGAAATTGATCGACATCAGAAGCTTGTGATGGCACACGCACTCGTCGTACATGTGAAGCTAGCGATGGTGCTTCGCTCGTATCAGACATTGCCGATGAACGGGTTGCATATTCGGACTTGTCCATATATTTGCTGGAGTGAGATCCAGCGTGCGATCGACGGCCAGCATTCTGAGATTTTTGATATCTAGGACCAGTTTCTTTTCCCATGGGGGCCAAACGCTCTGCAGAGTGGTATCTTTCATTAAGACGACTTTCAGATAGCCCAAGGTTCGTTAGCGGTTCAGGTTCAGGTGTTGGATCTAAATCAGCAATATCTCCGGCTAATAGGTCATCTAATGACTTCGATCGCGTCTTTTCTTGTTCGAAATATCGTTCGTTAAGAACCGAGCTTCTGGACAATAAATCTCGTGATGTCTTCCTTACTGGAGGTTCAATTTGCGGTTCGGCTATAGGCGATTCTCTCGCTGAACTCGTCTTGGCTTTAGGAGGCTCCGGAGGTGGAACCTGTGGCCTCTTTGGGCTACTTGGCTCGGGTTCAGGGATGCTTGTCCGCAAAAACTTTGCGCCGGTTTTCATAAGATCACTGCGTATTGCAGGAAAAGCTGGGCACAATTCTTTTTCCGATATAAGATCTAAAACGTAATCTAATCCACATGAATCAGTTACCAACTTTCCATCGTCTAAAACAACAGTCCAGCCACGATTTGATATACCGAGTGTTGAGACGGCCAACGAAGCCGCCTCCTCGCAAGTTGTCCATGAATCTATAGCAACTGTTTGTGAAACATCGTCTGGCAATGTCAGAGATACCGCAATATCGGACATTTTCGAGATAGCCCGCCACTCTACCCATGATGGTACAAAATTTCGACAGGCGTTTGCCTGCGTATTACTGGAGTTACGCAAAATCTTCTTCAAAAGGAGCTCCTTCATGGAAGATGGGGCGTTATCCATAATAAACTTCATCAGATATTTACTAAAAGCAGGACCCGGCTGAAAGCATGACAAACAGTGCGCCATCAACTGCCATATNCGCTTTAAGTTTAGCAACTCTCTTTCGATCCCTTTTACCACGCCACAGCGATTGCGCCTGGACAACGCTTTTCCTAAGCGATGTATATTTCCTCATTTCACGGTGACCACGCCACTTTGACTGGATCTTTATCGCAGCTTTCTTTTTGCGGGCTAAATGCCGACGCACCAACATTCCTCGAACGTTCTTTTGTATAACAACCGCCGCTGATTTAAGACGATCCGAACGTCCACTTTCTAGCATGCGATGCAGAGCTTCTCGTAAGAATACACGTGTCGCACCTAGTTGAAAGTCGGGCCCTTCTATACCTGTTCGCGGTAGAGATTCCAGTAGAATACGACATAACTCCCGATATGGTGTACCCCGGGGTAGGGGTGTTCGCAAAAGGTGACGGTAACGCTCAACAAAATGCTGAAATTTCAAGCGAACTGGGTAGCCTTTTTGTCTGATTTGAATGGTGTCGAGCATGCCAAGGTAGCGCAGCTGTTGTAGAACACATGGCATGTCCATTTTCAACGCATGTTTTTCGTTATTCGGCTTAATGCACCGCACGAACCATGGATTGCAACGACCCATAGATTGAAGAAGCTGCTGCAGTGAGTCTGAGAATCTAGCCGCAACGGTGGGAGTACGTGGCTTCATGGTGACGAAACGTCCATTGCTTCCCTTTGGAAGAGTTTTGCCAGAATCCCTTTGAGCTCTTAACTGCTTCGTCAAATCGACAACTAACTGCAGTTTACTTGAGGCCAACAACTCAAGCACATCGCCTCGCAAAGCATCTCTATTTTTGTCCAGAAACCCATCTACGCAATACCACACTTGGCCAGCGTAGTGAGTTATGCCGAATTCTTGGGCACCGATACGAGGCCGAGAATACAACTCGTTTAGAGCATGATTGTAGTGACACTTTTCCAAGAAGCTCATGTCGGTTGCGCGTGGAAAATTGGATTCGTCGTCAAGCAAGTGGAATATTCCTACGGGCTTTTTAGCCAATAAATGAATAACCGGCAAATTATCATCCCACGTAAGCGGGGTCCACTCCAGCCGTTCTCGCGAGTACTCAGCTTGCTCTAGCTTGAATACATGTTTATTAAAGTATAATTGAAGATTTTCATTTGCGTAATTTATGCACAACTGCTCAAAAGAGTTCTCCGCCAGATCTTCGAAGCCAAAAATATCCAAAATTGATATACGATGGGCATCGTGTGTGCCACCTTTCTGCACAATGGAGTTTATGCGCGACACCAGCCAATTGAATAGTCCAGAATATAAGGCCTTAGCGAAGGCGTCTCTAGAGTCAAGTGCTTGATCAATACCGAGCGGAGTATGCAGACGTTCTGATCGCGCCTCCGTTATGCGACTAGTCAATGCTCTGTGAAGTCCCTCAGCGGAAATGTGCAACAAATGAGCCGCCCATTTGATTTCAGCATCTGAGCCTACTTCTACACCCTCTTGGCCATGACGCAGCTGTCGACGATGAAAGTACACATTTCCTAGATGCAGTACCGATGCCAGCACTCGAATAATACCCTCCCGTTCGCCTTCGGTAACGCCTAAGACTTGCATGGCACTTTGGAGGGAATCCCAATCCACACGTCCCGGTGCACAGGCAGTAGCACCTTGATTCAAATAGAAATATTTATCTGCTTCAAGCAAACCATATTTGGTACGTTCAGTCTCCGACAAGCCACCGAGCATCTCATAGAAAACATGGTAGTTTCGCTCTCCAGGCGCCTGAGTCACAATGCGTGACTTCTCCAGTAGATATTGTGTAATTTTTGCGCCTACAATTGCGCCGTTTTTAAAGTACACTTCCAGGTATTTACCGAAACGCGAACTGTTGTCGTTACGAGCTGTACGCGCATTGCCAAAGGCCTCTAGCAAAGGTGCAGCTTCTAGTATTTGTTCAGCAATGACGGCTGACGCGGAACCCCCTCCCGGCACCACAGCAGCCAAGTACTGCATCACTAACTTTGTAGATTCGGTTTTACCAGAACCCGATTCTCCCGATATTACCACGACTTGAGGCAACGGCAATGCGGCATGTGCAGCTGCGCCTATGGCAAAAAGATGGGGTGGCATTGTGCCCAACGGTTTGCCAGCATATTTCTTAGCCACTTCTAGTCCGTATGAGTCGGGAAACATTTTGTATGGATTGACAGCAATCAGAATACTGCCTGCAAACGTATAAATAAGACCTTTGTCATATCGAAGCCGCAAGTTCCACAGCAATGAAGCTTCATGCAAATCTTCCAACATAGTCATGTCCTCAACGCCAGTACTTCCGAGATCTTGTCGCGGTCGTAGATTACCCTCGCCTGGCTGCAGTGCAAATGTTTGCGGCTGAAAAAGAAATCAAGAATACTATTACATACGCATTTACCATTGAAACAGTATTTAATAATAAAGAAAAAAATGCTTAAAACTAGTTTAAATGCATATGTATGGCTGTTCAGCATTACGAACGTGTTTGGCTATGACATCGCTGCAAATCGTCGACAGCTTTTTCACATATTGCGGATAGCGATTTTTTGCCTTGCGCGCCAGATCGCGCCGCTGCTTTAAGAGGAGCATCTCGGTGTTCGCGGCCATAATTAGTACATTCTCAAGGCTGGGTGGGCGTTGACGGCGCAAAATGTGGGGAGATAAAATCGCAATGGATGGCGATGGAGCAGGGCTCGGCGTGATCGAACCGCACCGTTGCCATGGCTCCAAATGAAAGCGTACTATACGCATTCGTAGGTGCCAAGTTATGGATGGAGCCAACAACGATTGAACTCTCTCGTCGAATATTGGAAACGAATCAAGCGCCAAAAGCAAACCACATGTCCACTCGATACAATGGCAGCCAATAGAATGGACCGTTAGCTCATACGGCTGCAAGCAAAAGCCACTAAATGAGACTCCAGATTTTTGTCATGCAATAAGAAGCCATGCTGCGGCCAATCTCCACAGTGCAGCTGCCTGCTACTCTTGCAAACCGCTTCGTAAAGGAAAAAGCTTTTGCATTAATTGACCAACCAAGATGTGGCATAGAAACGTGTTGCCGTGAGTATATGATGGTCCGTGCAGCACAGGCACAACACAACAGAAAGAGTTCTGCGCCACATTGGTCAGATTTCAGATCTCACACTCCACGACCTTGTCAAACCACATTGGCTGACATTTGCTTTTCCTCGCTTTGGCAGCGATTATTTTCTATTTTACTGCTGCAGTTTCGACTTCGAAGCCGCACATATAAACCACTTTGAAAGCAGTCAACAAGGCGATTACTGCGGACATTTCTCAATGTAATATACGCACGTAAAGATGCTCCAACAAGTTGGACTTCAATGGCTTTTCACAGTTAAATAGCGCAATTGTGGGTTTCCGATTGCTGAAAAACCAGCTGGCGCTTGTTGGTTTTTGAGATTTTGACACAATTCGCAACAGGTAAGAAGATCTTTTGATCTGCGATTGTTGTTATTATCTAGTCTTTTGATATGTGAAGACGAGTATGTATTTATTTTCGTTAACAGCATTATGAGCTGCACCTAACACTTCTGCTATGCATATACTGAAGTATGTATACACACACATATTTATAGCCAAATATTTATTCGTTCGAGTGAAGAGTGCAATGCTACATACATATTTGTACATATCTACATACGTAAATACACTTTTTAACTAATTTTTTGTTTTATGAATTACCTTTCCCTTGATGAGTGCCTGTACGACAATCACTTGCGCCGCACGGTGCACCTCTTGAATTTCGCCCGGTATAGGGTGCCCTACCCCGGGATCGAACCACACCAAGTCTCCTTCCACCCAATCCATGGTTTAGTAGAATTTATTTTAACTCCTGCGCTAGCCTTCTTCCAAGTGTAGTTTGCGTATTCGGTAGAAAGTTGTTACTAATGCGAATTCCTTTTGAACACATGCATCGCTGCAAATAAATGTTATGAAAATAAATTAAAAGTGTTTCAAAGAAATTTCACTGATATGTATGTGTGTGATGTAAATGTGTACGGCTTTTGAAACTTTCTAAATACAACTGTGCGCATATTTGTTTGTTTTATTTTGGATTTAACTGAAGACGTGCATATCCATATTCCATCCAATAAGTCGGCGCAATTAGCATAAGGTTTGTCAGAAACAGCCAACACTTTTGTTAACACCAACGCTAATCAAACAATCAACAACGCCTTGACACGTCGCTGTGGCACCTTTCACGCCGCTTACACACTTTCACCGCTGCGCTACGCATCGCCCCTCGCACACAGCGCACATACTCCATACTTACTGTTTGTTCAACACACCAACAGTTTTGGGAGCTCAGACCCAGAAGCAATTTTGTCAAGGCCTTTCCTTGATAAGGTATTACAGAACAGCTCCTAAGCAAGTGCAAAGCACATCTCAACATCACTACACACAGAGTGATTCCAGCGCTCCTTCTGGAGAAGTGCGTAGGCATAGTGTTGTGAAAATAAACTGACATGAGCTACACAAGTAATTTAAATGCTAAACGAAAAATAGGAAAAGGAAATCGTTGCGTATGCGACAACTCCATGTTGCACTACGTAGGCAGCCAAGCCTCAAAACGAGCAATTTGTAAATTTGAGTACCAATTGAATTAAGTTTGATGGGCGACACCTATCATGTATGTACTACATATGTACATATGTATAGGCATAATATCGTCTTATATCAGAATGTGGGCTGCAATGCTTTTTGGAGGCGTTATGACAACTGTTGGCTAAAAATCAGCAAACTAGGTGCAGTTCATCCGCTATGACAAAGTTTATCAATCCATGCACAACGCCAAACGCCAAAGATGTTGTTGCTGTTAATTACTTTGATATTCATTTTATGCTTTTTATCATGATTCATGAAGAACAAACAATAGTACTGCTCGAAAACGAAAGACTTAAGACACAAACTTGCTCATTTTCTCTGCTAACACAATAGAAAAAAAAAAACCGAATTAAAACAAGAAATTCAAGCTAAATATCTGTAAAATTTTGCGATTAGCGAAATTAAATGCCACTCTCACTCACATTTAGTATTCCATTGCCGCGCTCGCAATACATTTGGTTTCCTATTCCGCTCTAATTTACTTTAATTTTTGTCTCGTTTAACATTTTACTTTGCCAGACTTTGAAAGATCTACTGCCACTGACCTCGACAAGCGCTTAAAACCAATGAGCAAGAAATAAAAAGACTTTCACCTGCTGTGATTTACCTATGTATGTTGTTTGTGGCATTAAGTTTTGCATTTTGAAGCGTTAAGTCGTGCTTAGTTAACAAAGCACCGAAAAATTTGTTTGTCAAAATTTCTTTACTCACATATTAAGAATGCAAAATCGTAAGGCTTTCGAATTGATGTGCTCAGTCCAGCGTCACGCATACCAAACGGCCAACGGCGCACAGCTGCGTTTAACGCAGAACTTTTTTTTATGTGCGACTGCGGCTAAAAGCTCTCTGCGCTAAGCCGCGGAGAACTAGTTATGCACCCGAAGAGTAGTGTGATATTGAGATGGCTGGCGGGAGATAAAACGCCAGTTGTCGCTTCAAGTTGAACAAAAGTTGGCGCTGTTGTTGGTGCTGTCCCAGCTGCAGAGAGCGAACCACAAGCTGCGACTGGGAGCGTCACTATTTTTTTACAACACTACTGAGCATTGTCGCCCAACCGCATTCCAATGCTAAAATATCAGCACTTGGCGCTGTCAATAGAATGGATCTCAAAGTGAATTTTCATAAATATTTAAAAAGCGGTTGTGTAGCCAAAAAAAAACAAAAATGTTAACCTTAAGCGTTTCTTTTAAACACCAAAACCAGAAGTTGAATATGTATGTAGATTTATGTATGTATATGTACATATTTACACATGTGTGTGTGTCATTCACGTGCGTGTGTACACTGCTTAGACTTGAGTTAAGACAAGTGCGGCTGAAAGACCTGAGTCTGTTGCTACATTTTTAGTAAATAGTCAAGGAATTGAATGAATTATAGCAGTTTGTATGTATGTATAGTATAAATGCATACCCTGTTATTTGTATGTGAAATCTTGTCGGTGCATTTTTATAGCAACTGCAACTGAGCTATGTGCAGCATGTGAACTTTTATCTAATTTCGAAAGAAACAAGTGCCTCATACCAACCGCACAACGCAGCCAGCAACTAAAAGCCAAGTCGTTGTCACAAGTCTCATAATTTGTGTGGAATGACGGTGAATAAATGTAAAAACAAAAGTGACAACCATAATAAAAAAAAGTTGGCAGCGGAGCTTTATAATTGCATTCTTACACATACGTACATACTTGTATGAATAATACTCGTACACCGATGTGGCATACCGTAGCCAGAGTTGCCAACTTTGTAAAAGCCTTTTTATAAAATGTTTCCTATGGCTCAAATGAGTGGCTCCACATACACACAACATTTGATCTTCATATTTTACTCTGTGTCCCATATAACTGAAACCCCAAGTTAGTATATCGCAAGTTGCCCAAAATATATATCAAAATGATTCTAAACTATTTCCAAGATGAAAGAAAAAAGTTGTCTCAACTCCCGTTGGAAGCCAAAATGTTACTGGATTTTATTTGATTCGATTGCTGCCTGCCTGGGCAATGGCCCTAGCCGATGCCAAGACCGCATTGAATGCAGGCGCGTGCGCAAAGAAAGTGAATTAATTCGTTTTGCAGTCGTTTTCATTTATCGCATGCCAGTGCACCTTCGTGCCATTGTGTTTGCGTTTTAGGTAATAATTATAAAAATCCTCAAACAAAATACAACAAAATTCACAAAAAAAAAAAGAAATGAAACTGTTAACGCTAGGCTACGCACAATCGAATTGAAATTTTACAAAAATTAAAGTAATAAATCAGCTCTTCAGCGAACAACTTTTGCTATGTACGTACAACGGACATTGAATTGAAGCTGGCTTTTGCAGCTGATTACATTTGCTATCAGCAACAGACGAATGAGCAGCAACAATTCATGACGAGTACACCATGCGAGGATAATCCTAAGCGCGATACCTCAACTGCTGCGGGTTTCTGATAGCCGCGTGGCCGCATGAAAGAATCGTGTAGTTTGCTCAACTCAATCGAGTTGAGATATTTGTTTACTTGTTAACAGAAAATGATGATAGTCATCAATTAGCACACATATACATATGTGTATGTACATATGGATGTATGTATGTATACCCACATATTTTAAGCAAATAAAAATAAAGTGAAAAAACCCAGAATTGGCCATTCGACTGTAACATTCACGCTCATTGCAGGCGGTGTTTGCGTGGTAAGAAATTAAACGTTGTTTTATTTGTAGCAATGCTAAATATGCTTAGAATACGTCAATGAAAGATGGCTAACCAAAATATGTTATATAAAATAAAAAATAAAACACTCGCCGATTCAAAAGCTCAGCAAGTTCGCCGGCATTGATATGTAGAGCCAATGAATATAAGAGTATCTCCAAGGGAAGCAGCCAAAGTTTCTTGTAATTCCTGATAAAGCATCAACGCCATCATCAAATCTGCAGCGAAAATTGCAATAACTGTGAAGCGTAAAACTTCAAGCAGCATCAAAGCTCGAATCACTCAAAGCAACGGAAATGGGTAAAGCAGCATACAGAGCGAATATGAAAAGTGTGTCAGAAATTCCACGCACAAAGCGAAATCAAATTGTAGCCAGCAAGCCAGTCAACTTGAATCGGTCAGTTAAAATGAGGCCAACAACAATTCACAACAAAAACCCCAGCTGCCAGAGGCATTGAAGAGAAAATAAGGAGAATGGAAGTAAAAATGAAGTGCAGAATTCAGCTCAAGAAAAATTTTGCGGGTACATACGGGTATAGGCCTCCTCTATGTAGATGCTCCTCTATGTAGATGCATCGTACGTACGTGCATACCTACTTATGTACATATGTTATTTTGAAACAATATTCGGTGAACAGCAAATCGATTTACCGTATGCTAGACCGGATTCTAAGATAACTATACAAAGTAGCACGGAAGCAAGAAAGTTGGCAAAGACAACGGCCAAAACAGCCACCGACCGATTCAGTTGCCTGGTTTATGTTGCGCCATTCTAGTAGCCCAAAGTTTATTGCCCTTTTGCAATTTTTCTGCTCACCTATACCTTCGCTCGATGGTGCTTTGAATGCAAAGCATACGATCGGTGGCGTTCAATAGATACTTACATATGTACATACAACATACATAAATACATAAATATTTACATGTATGTTTGTACATAGTAGCAGTAGGTATAGTAGGAGCTAATACCAAGCATTTTACTAATGATCGCACCACAATGACAATTATAGTTGAAGCAATACTGACCACGACTGACTTGCGCCTTTACAGTGACGCGACTCATATAGAAATTTAAAGCTATAAAGGCACGACGAGCAACTAGGTGTGGCAATGCGCTAACGAATGTGAGCAATACGAGTCTTGTAAAAGAGTGAAAAAGTGCTAAGTCCTGTTTTTTTCAAATTTTACAGGAGATAATACAATCCTTTCAAACTCATTTTCCGCGAGTATATGTTAAAAGTAAAATATGTAGTTCGATGTCTTCATTTCATTCATTTCAATTGTTCTTGCTTCTTGCATCAAAATAGATTTTTTTTAATGAAAAAATAGACTTGGCAGCTTTTCTCCCTAAGCTAGCAATATATATGTATGGACATTAGGGTGCTCCAAAAAGGCATGGAAAAAAGTAAAGTCGGAAAAAATACCCAAATTTTTTATTTTGAAATCAAAAAATATTTAGAGGTCGCTCAAAGTTTTTTCCATTTATTTTATATGTATAAACAAAAAACACTTTTCGGAGAAATGGTATAGAATTCTAAAAATCAATATTTTTCGATCGGAAACCTCTGTTTCTCTGCAAAAGATTGCCAATAATAATACCCAATTGTTTATTTAATCATT